GATCACGTTTGTGTCTAATTAATGAAATTATGTATTATCTTTATTCATGGATGAGTTTGGGTAGAATGAAATCTAACAGGCTTGCTCGGTCGGGTTTACTCGGTTGAGCGCCGGTCGCGCTCCTCGGTTTTGGGGAGTGACAATCTCATTCACCTCGGAGGAATCGGCTGAAGCTGCCTCTAACTTGGACTTCAACGCGGTATACTCCCGGCCAAGGTCGTCCCATTTTGAAACGGCTGAACCCAGTTGTGCTCTGAGATCATCATTTAGCTGAGACCACTTGTCGGCCTTATCCTTCATCACCCTGAGTTGGTCCTTGACCGATGCCAACTCCTCTTTGGTAGCCTCCTTTTCCGAGGCCGAGAGGTTCATCCTTCTCCTCAACGTCTCGGCCGAAGCTTTGAGCTCGTTCATCTCGGCCCGGAGATGGTCAATTAAATCTACCTTCTCTTGGACTTGCGAGGTTGCGTCGTTAGCTACTACACTTAGCCTCTCATTTTTAATCTCAAATATCCTTACCTTCTCGACCAGTATGACATGCTCACGTTTCACGGATGAAGCCATCCTTTGAGCTTTTTCAAGCTCAGCTTGGAGAATGGGGAGGTCCTTGAGGGACTCGTCTTTTTGATCGCTGAGAGCCTTGTAGATGTCCTTCTGCCGGACTTGCTCCTTGAGCTCGAACTCGAGCTGGCTCACTTCCTTCCGAGATCAAAGGAAGCTTTCATGATGAAGCGCCGAGGCCTGAAAAATAAAGTGATGAGATCATGAAGAAACTCTAAGGTTAAATGAACTACGCGAAGGTTACAAAGAAAGAGAAGAATACCCGGTTCAGTGCCTGTTGTGCCTCGTTGTAAAGGCTCGGTGCGCTCACCTTGTTCATCTTTGCCTGATCCTCTTCAGGCACCAATCAGCGAAGATAACTGACCCGCCAACTGGTCCAGACAGTACCTAGATATCCATCAGGATCGTAAACATGACCGTTCTTTTGCGGTCAGGGTCCACATTCGGAGCAAGGAACTGCTTCACCAGCTTCGGGGTCAAGCTCGGCCCGCATACTTTCGACGGTACATCTTTTTTCGGGATCTCGAGGTGATCGAACTCCGGAGTAATCCTCCAATGCCCCGATGTCCATGCCCTCAATGAATAAGTTGAGGGCCTCATCTGCGGCCTGCGACGTCTCGTTCGGTTTCTCTTTGATGGGCTGAGCCTCGTCGAATAGAGACTCTGTGTGGGACGCCGATCCCGTGATGTCAATGACACCCGCGGCTTCCCTCGGAGTAGGAGTAGATTCTCGGGAGGCCGTAGTCACTGGTTTTCCTTTGGGCTCCCGAGCCAAAGAGGGGTCGACCTCTCGGTCACTTCCCCTGGTCGCTACCCACTCTTCTTTATCAATGGTCGGCCCATGGACGACGAACTCCAGGTCATCATCTTCAGTAAAGTCCCTGAGCCGATAAAGGGATTTGGGGTCCGGTACCCTGGTCTGGGTACTCTTCTTGTTACTCTTTTGGGCCCAGACCGCTACCCTCTTCTTCTTGGCCTCGGCGTCCGGGGAACCCAAAGACTTCCTCTTTCTTCTCTTTTTCTCCTCCTTCTTCGCAGCAACCCCAGGCTGTCCTGAAGCGAAGGGTTTATCGGGTGAGGACGAAGCCTCTTCCTTGTCTAATGCCTGGAGCTTAGTGGTCTTGGGAAAACCTATGAAAGAAAGAGAGGGACTTAGTTAAAATGATAGTTAAATATTAAAGTAACCTTGGTCGAGGAGAGCACTCACCATGGGAACGGGCCTCCCACTTACCCTTCGAGAGTTTGCACCATTTGCGCTAAGCCCTCAAATCACATCAAACAATGCTAAAAACACGAATCACCCTCCGATTCAAACTTAATGAACTTTGAAACTTCAAACTTCTAAAACCGATTCCAAAACCTATCAAACCACGTCCGATTGACCTCAAATTTTACACACAAGTCGTACTCGACATTATGGACCTACTCCAACTTTCGGAATCGGAATCCGACCCCGATATCAAAAAGTCCACTACCAGTCAAACTTTCCAAAATTTTAACTTTTGCCATTTCAAGCCTAATTTAGCTACAGACCTCCAAAACACAATTCGGACACGCTCCTAAGTCCAAAATCACCCAACGAAGCTAACGGAACTGACAAAACTACATTCCGGAGTCATCTTCACACAGTTCCAACTACGGTCAAAATCTTAGAACTTTAGCTACAGCTTTAGGGACTAAGTGTCCCAAAAGACTCCGAAACACAAATATGACAGCTGTGTGCAGATCCCCTCGACCCACTCTTTGAAGTGGGGAACTGCGTTGGGAACTCGGGCAACCGCTACACGATGATAGAACCGAGCAATGAAAAGGAAGAACAAAAATCCAAAAGCAATTCTAAATATTTAAAAAGTAGAGGAACTTACGGGCTAGGTTCCACTTTTCAGGGAACAACAGGAACTCGGAGGGAATGAGATCCTCTATTTTCACCCGAATGAATCTCCCCTGCCAGCCTTGATTCTATCTTCGTCCATGCTGGAGAATGGAGCTTTTTTTGCCCAATGAACGAGCTTGATTAACCCCCCTCGGAAGATTCAGGGTTTGTAGAGACGAAGCAGATGGTTGATGGTCAATCGGGGTGCCTCAGTATTATTAAAAAAGTGGCGGAGGAGGATCACTATCCTCCAAAAAGAGGGATGAATCTGCCCGAGGCAGACCTCGTACCTTTTGCAAAAGTCGAGGACTATGGGATTCACCAAGGCAAGTGTGAAGGGGTATGTGTAAACACTTAGACACATGTGGACAGAAGTTGCCGGTGTCATCAGGACCCGGGACGACCACTTCTTTGCCCTCCCATTTGCAATCCTCCCGAACCGTAAGGAGTGTGTCCTCGGTGATGGAGCATATGTACCTCCATACCTCCCCGCCTCGATCCTGTCGACTGGAAGATTTTCTGACCTTGAAGTTATTTTCTATAGAGCAACCTCCGTGGATAAAGTTTTTCAGAGGAGGTTCCGGGGCCACTTCAGGTACGACCACCTCAGCATCCGTGGCCGGATTAGAAGTTGAAGGGACGGTCTGTTGAGGCACGAATTTCGAAGTCTTCACCATCGAGTTCTGGGGAATATGAATATATAAAGGCGAGTATTAAGATTTGAAGATGAGGATGAAGATTTGAAGGTCAAACTTAAAGGTTCAAGGATGAATTATGAAGATTTGAAGATGAAGATATGAAGGTATGAAGAACAATGTATGAAGATTTGAAAGGGTTAAAAGCAAGTGAAAAGTTTGGGGGTAAATTGAGGAGTTCTGGAATCGGAAAGTAAAAAAGTGAAAAAAGGATTGAAGCTTTTATAGAGAAGAGGTAATTAATGCGTCACATTTCACATTCGAGGAAGATCAACCGACGAAGGACACGCGTCCGAAGTCAGAACGACGGGACTGATAGGACGTTTCACTGACCCATAGACCTGGTTATAGCGTATGGAAGAAGGAACCAGGGTCAATTAATCACTTCTCGTCGCTTCGATAAATCTGCTCTCCGAAAAGTGAAGGGACTATATGTGTATGGGTAAAATCGGGGACAATGTTATACTCGATTCCCTAATAAAGAGACGAGAGGGCAGCGCGGTCCAACGCAATTTCAAGCGAAGCCGAAGGGTCCTTTGTGTCGGAGCTCGGGAGGGATGAACGATGTATCTGGGATCGGGCACGGTTAAACAACGGATCTGGGCCAAGTACATTTTCGAGCCCACGAGAAAAAGTAAACGGTTGAGCATGACAAGTAGGGAGCCGTAATATTCGCCCTCAACCAGATATTAAGGTGCAAATCCCGTTCGATATCAACTGCTGATCGACATTTACTAGAAAAAAAAGATTTTTACCTTATTTAGACTTGTACTAGGATTGAAATTTTCCTACTATATAAATGGAGATTTTTTTAATTCTAACACACTGTTGACATGCATATCAAAGCAATAAGAGTTCATTTTTGTCTTCTAGCTATTATCAAAGTGTTCTTAAGTTACTCTCTTCTTTAATTGCTACCGAGCCAATATCGAGGGTTTCGATCGAGGGCGAATTTCAGTGTTTAACTTAAGATTAGGCTTGATTGTTCCATTACGATTGGTTTGAACGTTTATTCTCTCTTTAATCTAATTATTTGTTGTTCTTAGATCATTCGTAATCACGTATTCTTTAAATCGCATACAAATTTAATTGCTACTCATTTTTAAGGGTAAACTAGGGGTGCTTATCGGGCGGATCAGGCGGATAATTATGCTTAACGGTTCGTCTTATCGGTTATCGGATTATAAATATAGTAATCCGCTAGCCATCCAAAAAGAAAACAGACGAATTGGTATCGGATTAACGATTATCGGACGGTTTATCGGCTAAACCAAATAGAAAGTTTTTGAAGAATCATTCAATCAAATACCAAACGGTTTCAAATCAATACCAATTTTTTAATACCATCTAAGATCTAACAGTATTTTTGAATTGGAGAGTCTTCTTCCAAGTTCCAATATAGTTCATATTCAAGACTACTCATACACGTATGAATCTATCAAACTTTCAGTAACATTCTTTCTTCACAAGAAATCGAGATTGTAAAACCAAAAATCTAGAAAATCAAACTTTAATTTGTTAGATGCATGCAAAAAAGGACATAAAACCAGACAATCCAGTTATTACGGATAAAACCAGCGGACAATTCAACGAATTAATTTCAATAGTACTTTATATACATATGGGTAAAAGTATAAATATAAAAATTCTTAATAAGTTAACGGTTTACTTGATAAGAAAATTGGGTAATCCGTCCCCAAACCGTTAAGTCATTAATTATAAAATCTCAATCCGTTTACCATTCATTATCCTGATAATCCGATACCAATAAGCCAATAAGTTATCGATTCGGTTCGGTTGGGTTCGATTCGGTTTTGAACCGTAGCAAACTTTAGAATAAAAAAGTTTCAAAAATTGTATCCCATAAAAATTTGAATATCTTCGAGTAAAATACTCCCCGTGGGTCGTTTATTCCTTCCCACTCCAGGTCTCCACAGCTTCAGTAATCCCCTCAAAAACCAAGATCTTACGAAAAAAGAAAAAAGAAAGAACAAGCCCTAAACTTTGGTCTCAACAATGGTGGATGGGTCGAGAGACGTGGATGTGGAGAAGCTAATCTCCTTCAGCAAAGATCTCGTTCAGTTCTTGAAGGACGACAAAGATGTCGGCTTCTTGAAACAGTGTTTGGAGCAATCTAATGCCGTTCAATTACAGTGCCTTTCTGAATATCAAACCCTTCGGAGTTCCATTCAAGGTATGCTTTGCAAATAGTAAAAATCCTTTCTTGATTATTTTTGCTCAAAGATTGTCCAATTGGGTTTTCCTATAAACTGTGTGAAAAGAAGAAAAAAAAAAACTTAAAGATTTTGTACCTGTCACTTGTAGATAAGTCTGTTTACATGGAATTGAGAAACCATTTTCTGTTTTCTTTTGTACTGGATTATCAAGTCAAAATTGATTCTCTCAAAGTATTGTAATTCCTGGATGTTTCTCTTAATGACATTTTGGGGATTGTGGAGTCTGTCTTAGTATTTTATACGAGTACTTGTTTGGTAACTCACTCTTCTGGTCATTAAGCGAAGTCTTGTTTTCTTGTCATGTTCATGCCAACCCTTTCGGAATTTTTTGGTGTAAGATTGGTGTCATTACCTATTTGTTCCTGATAGTTTTGTGATACTCTTCTACATTTGGTATGATTTCTTCCTTAGTTGAAGTCCTTCTAAGCTAATATCTTATGAGCAGAGGTCCAGCATGTTTATATCTATATATACAGACTTAGGTTAAGCTGAAGTCCTTTGGATCGTGTTGCTATGGTATTTAGTGGCATAGCCAAGCATTAGCTTATGATTATAACCGGAAATATCTGGATTTATTTTGTATTTCTTGATTTGAAACTGTTATATAATTAATTTAATTCATTACATATGCTCAGATTATGAGGCAAAGATAAATATGTGCAAGCAGAGAATAGCAGAAGCACAATTTGAAGCTGCTGGAGATGCTGAAATAGATACACTGCTGAAAGAGTTAGAACAGGAGCTTCAGAAAGAACAAATGCTAAGGGAAGAACTTAGATAAGTATATCGAAAAAGCATGTCTTCATATTTCTCAAATAGTTTGGTGTTATGATTACTGATTAGCACCTTTTGCTTTAACACAGTTATAACCGATGAGATCGATGATTTAGATCATCAAAGAGCCTCTATTGAGGAGCAAAGGCAGTCGCTCAAGAAACTTGAGCAAGATCAGCTTCGAGCAGAGTAAGTAATCAGAACCTTTTTAGTAGTTTAATATGCTTATAATTATATCAGTCATTTACTCCGAACATACTCCTATAATGTTCTGTTGAAACAATCCCATCTTGACATTTATATGTAGACTCGGTAAACGTTTGCAGCTTTATGCTATCAAATTATGTGAAGAGTTTGCAATGGGTCTAGGATGTTAACATCATATTTTGCCAACTTGGTTCTGTATCTTAAGCTGGTACATGTTGTTGAATGCATCTGCCTAATGCCAATCATTGTTAAAGTAGTCCATTCACTTTCCATATGGTGCAGATCAAGTAGAGATGGCAACAGGGCGGGGTGGTGTGTGCAGGTTAAGAGTGTTTTTTAAAAAGTTTTAAAGCGGGTCTCGGCAGGTTGCAGGTTCTTCGTGAATGAAGAGCTACTGGGTATACAAATATTGATGAATATAACAACTTTTTCCCTCTCAGTTTTCACGCTTGCACTTCTACCAACCTGAGATCTGAATACTTCCCAAATTTTTGTTTCTACTTTTCTAGCTCGTAATTGAAATCTCTAATTCTTTGGCCTCATCTCGAGTCTTTGACTCTCTTACCCAGTAGGTGGTGAAGTTGGACTTTAGACGTTCATATGACTTGCAATTCTTTTCCACTTTTTTGCCTGATTTTCTTGATATTTTATCATTTCTCTAGATATTCTATCATTTTCGCTATAATCTATCATTTTAACTAGACATCAGAATTCAGGCTTTTCTATGTATCATTTTTACAACTTTTATTTTCCATGTTCCCTTCTATTATCTGGTTTTCTTGTTAAGTATGCTCCATTAATATACTGAGGAGGAGATAGATCACCAAAGACTAGAAACCAGATGCATTTTTGTCCAGGACTTTTTTCCACTGTATCTTTGTTTAATTTCAAAATCACATTTTAATTAAAGAACTGAGAAATATGGGTTCTGGAATTGTGTTGTTCTGGCTTAAACATCCAGATTTTTTAATATCCTTTGGTTTCATTAATTAAAAGTAGAAGAATTAATTTTGGACCTAAATTAGAAGTCTGGTGGCACAACACTTGTAAATTGAATCATGAATGTCAATTTATAATAGAGTCAACAACAACAACAACAACAACCACAACATACCCAGTGTAATCCCACAAGTGGGGTATGGGGAGGGTAGTATGTACGCACTACGCAAACCTTACCCCTACCTTCAAGAAGGTAGAGAAGTTGTTTCCGAAAGACCCTCGGCTTAGGAAAGATAAAAAGAAAGGGCAGCAACAATCACACCAGTTATAAAACAACAACAACAACAGATCCAGTGTAATCCCACAAGTTATAAAACCGAAGCAAAAATACAAAGATACAAAAGTAAAACTGAGTATCATAATCAAAGGCCGAAACGAAAGCAACGACAAGTAATTACATAAATCAAGGAATACGAAAGTACATAAATAACGCTAACTCATGTACTAAAGCTACTGTTATAGACAAAGACAACGCTAGGCGACCTATTCTAACCCTTTACCTTTATTCTCAACCTCCACAACTTTCTATCCATGGTCATGTCTTCGGTGAGCTGGAGCAACGCCATATCTTGCCTAATCACCTCTCCCCAATACTTCTTCGGCCTACCTCTACCTCTCCTTAGGCCCTTCTGGGCCAACCTCTCACACCTCCTCACTTCCTCACTGGTGCATCTGTGTCTCCTTTTCACATGTCCGAACCATCTAAGTCTTGCCTCCCGCATCTTGTCCTCCACAGGGGCCACGCCCACCTTATCCCGAATAACTTCATTTCTAATTCTATCCAGCCTGGTATGCCCGTACATCAATCTCAACATCCTCATTTCAGACACCTTCATCTTTTGGACATGAGAGTTCTTGACTGGCAAACACTCAGCCTCATATAACATAGTCGGTCTGACCACCGCTCTATAAAACTTACCTTTAAGTTTCGATGACACATTCTTATCACACAAAACACCTGAAGCGAGCCTCTATTTCATCTATCCCACCCCAATATGATGTGTAACATCCTTATCGATCTCCCCATTCCTTGTATAACTGACCCAAGGTATTTAAAACTCTCTCTCCTAGGGATGACTTGAGAATCAAGTCTCACTCCTTCATTCCCACCCTAAGTCGTCCCACCGAACTTGCACTCCAAGTACTTTGTCTTGGTCCTGCTCAACTTGAAACCTTTAGACTGCAGGGTATGCCTCCAAATCTCTAACCTCCCATTAACACCGCCTTGCGTCTCGTCAATCAGGACAATGTCACCTGCAAATAACATGCACCACGACACCTCTCCTTGTATATGGCGCGTCAGCGCGTCGATCGCCATGGAAAATAGAAATGGACTGAGGGCTGACCCCTGATGCAACCCCATCATAACTGGGAAGTGTTCTGAGTCCCCTTCCACAGTCCTCACTCGAGTCTTAGCTCCATCATACATGTCCTTAATAACCTTAATATAAGCAATAGGAACACCTCTAGCTTCCAAACATCTCCACAGAACTTGCCTTGGCACTTTATCGTAAGCCTTCTCTAGGTCGATGAACACCATATGTAAATTCCTCTTCCTCTCCCTATACTGTTCCATCAACCTCCTAACAAGATGAATAGATTCCGTAGTCGAACGTCCTGGCATAAATCCGAACTGGTTTTCAGAAATATCCACAATCCTCCTCAACCTCAGCTCCACCATCCTCTCCCAGACGTTCATAGTATGGCTTAGTAACTTGATGCCCCGGTAGTTGTTACAACTTTGGATATCCCCCTTATTCTTATACAGCGGGACCATCGTACTCCATCTCCCTTCTTCGGGAATCTTCGTCGTCCTAAAAATGATATTAAATAACCCAATGAGCCACACCAAACCCGCCCTACCCACGCTCTTCCAAAATTCCACCGGGATCTCGTCAGGGCTGGTCGCTCTCCCCCTTCTCATCTTACGCATAGCCCCCTCAACCTCCTCAGCTCTTATACGCCTACAATACCCAAAGTCCCGACGACACTCAGAGGGTTCTAAATTCGAGGGTATTTCTGAGGCCAAAGAGTGAGTGTTGTTTTTGGAATTTTTATAAGATTGATGCAAAATCTGTAGATATTCGAGGGTATTTCTGAGGCCAAAGAAAGATTATAAGTACATATTTTTTATTGAAATATGTAAATAACAAACTAGAGAAAGAGAAAGAAAAAAGAAAATTACGCGAGGCGTGTGGAAAACATAAAAAAAGGCTATGCAGGGCGGCGGGTTAAATTTTATTCGAGTTGAGTCTTAACCCGCCCCGCTTTGTTTGCCATCCCCAAGATTAAGTACTACCACCGTACACTTTTGGATGTCTATTTGTAACTATTGCCCATCTAAATTTTTCTTCATGTTGGATAAACATATGATCTAGCCTTATTTGAAAGCAACAAAACTTATATGGTACTTTTAGGGGTCGTTTGGTATGAGGTATAAGAAGATATAATGCTGGTATAAAAATTTAATACCACCTTAATACTTTGTTTGGTTAGCAAATCTGGTATAAGTTATCCCGAGATTAAAATTATTACCGGGATAACTTATACCTTGTAGAGGGTGGGTAATTAGTGCCGGGATAATTTATACCTTCTTAGAAATTATGCAATTGTCATTTTTAATACAACATACCAAACAGTGGATTAAAAACAATACCAGGATAATTAATCCCGATATAACTAATCCCAGCATAACTTATCCCAGCATAAGCCGTATTCAAACCAAACGACCCCTTAAGTTTTAGGTATATTAGTGGTAGTTCAAAGGTGAGGAATAAGCTTGATAGTCCCTTATGTATGGGTATAGGTATATTTTTGTCCCTTATCTATACTACTTAATATAAAAAGATATTAAAAGCCCTTTTTAAAAATTGACCGAAATGCTCCATTTTTTGAAAAATGACAAAATGTGCCCCATTTGAAGATTTTATTACCTGGATGCCCCTCCATCCTATGTCCAAGCTCCACCTAGGGCGCTACCCTTTTTTTTTTTTTTTTTTTTTTTTTTTTGGTTTTTTCACTTTTTTTTAAATCCCATTTTGTTGTTATTTTTTACTTTAGTTTTTCTTTCTAATAAAATTTTGCACTCTTTTTCGGTTTTTTTTTTTTTTTTTTTGGTTTTTTCACTTTTTTTTAAATCCCATTTTGTTGTTATTTTTTACTTTAGTTTTTCTTTCTAATAAAATTTTGCACTCTTTTTCAGTTTTTTTTTTTTTTTTTTTGAAGTAGTTATTTATTTATTTATTTTGTTCTTTTGAGTAACAATTCCTCACTGTTTTTAACTTTATTTTTTTTCTTGTCTAATTTTGTTTTTTTCTAGTAAAATCTCTTCGTCCAAAATATTTTGTTACTTTTTCACTCTTTTTAGTTTCTTTTTTTTGTAGTTATTTTTTTCTTTTTTATTCATTTTTCGTTCTTTCTAATAACAATACCTCACTTTTTTTTTAATTTTTTTCTTGTTTTATTTTTTAATTTTTTTTGCTGTATTTTATTTTTTTATTTTTGTTCTTTCCTGATAAATAAGCGAGTCGTAATATTTATATTGGGACACTTTCTACACAATCACTAATCGATTATGATTTTCAAGAGTTATTGTCTTACTCTTTTTGATTCTTTTATTTAATATTTAATAGATGACCCTTTTTTGCAATTTCCTGAGAAATTTTAGGCTTTTTTAAAATAAAGAATTTGTCACTCTTTTCTCACTTTTTGCTCTTTCTAGTTAAATCGGTAATCCTAAAATTTGGTACACTACGCTAATCATAGTATACGAATGTGTAGTATACCAAGAATATTAGGAATGCCATCATTCAACACTAATCATGGTATACCAACGTATAGTGTACCAAGAATGTTGTGAATACCATTTAATATACTAGTAATATCATGACATACTAACGTGTAGTATACCAAGAATATTGGGTATACCATTTAACATAGCCAAACAAAGTATACCATGATTCAAAACTAATCATGGTAAACCAATGTATAGTATACCAAGAATATGGAAAGTAACATTTAAGATAAACAAAGTATTAACATAATTCAACTGTTGGTATGCCATGATTCAACAGTAATCATGGTATACATAGTATACCAAGAATAATAAGAATATTTTGCATAAATAAAGTGTATCATAATTCAAGAGTAATCATGATATAAATACATAGTATATTAAAAATATTGTGAATACCATTTAATACATCAGTAATCACCGTATACCGTGATTTAGTGATCATGCTATACTTTACAATATACCAAGAATATTCTGAATACCAATTAACATACTAGTAGTAATAATATACCATGATTCATTAGTAATCGTGGTATACTATACAATATACTAAGAATTTTGTAAATACTATTTAACATACTACTAATGTATACTATACAATATACTAAGAATTTTGTAAATACCATTTAACATACTACTAATGTATACTATACAATATACTAAGAATTTTGTAAATACCATTTAACATACTACTAATTACAGTATATAATATTTATTGCTAGCTTAGGGAAAGAAATGTGGTAGCTCCACTATAAAAAGTGTGATGACAGTTGTTCAATTGCAGATGTAATACATTCATCTTGGAACGTTTGAGACTTTAAGCAACTCTTTGGCAAGTGCAGTACGTTCGTTTGCAATTTAAAATGGTGACATAAATACATAAAGAAAACTGAGTTGCCAATTTTCAATTTGATAAGTTGAACCGTAGTGAAGAATAAAGGCTGAAGATCATAATCCCCTATATTGGCTGCTATAAAACCAACCCAACGATTAATACAATTTGCATACCCAATTGCAGATCCTTTTAAGAGCTTCCTGCACCATAACAACAACAACAACAACGACCAAGTAAAATCCCACTAGTGGGGTCTGGGGAGGGTAGTGTGTACGCAGACCTTACCCCTACCCCGAGAGTAGAGAGGCTGTTTCCGAAAGACCCTCGGCTCAAAAAGACGAAAAGAAAAGAAAATAGTCAAGAGGAGTAGAGAGGCTGCTTCCTGCACCATAAGATGATAAAAAATAGTCAAGAAGCTACTTCTACCAAATCCTAGCTACTACTGAAGCTAAACTTTTCTTACTTAGTTAATAAAAGCCATGGCACAATTTAACTTGCCTTTTTCTTAGTATGCAAACCACACTGCAATATCTTGGAAAGTTGACGAACAGATGCAGTGACTTTTGCAGTGTTTGAACATCTAGACAGCACATGTCAACCAAGGAATTTCCTAGGAACTGCAAATATTTGTTATTAATAATTTGTGTAGCTCTGGACTGGGCAAGCTAAGCCACAAAATCTCAGTCATGATGTCCTAGCAGAGGTTGAATTTGAAGTGGAAGGGATCTGGGTATACTAAATTGGTAAAAAGATGATTGACTGTTCTCCAATTTTGTCCCCTTTTTTCTATACCCCAAATGATGTTTTTAAAAAAAAAATTCAATCTTGGATTAAAAGTGTAAAATTTATAGATGATTGGTATGAAAGGAGTAGATGGAGAAGGCTTTTTCTCTTATACCAAGAAGATTAATTTTTATAAAAATTAAACCTTGGAATAAAAGAGTGAACTTTATAGATGAATGGTATGAAAGGAAAAAGATGAAGAAGGCTTTTTCTCTTATACACAGAAGAGAAATTTTATATAAAGATTCAATCTTGGTCTCTGAAGGAGTGACTACTTCAGTTATAGCTGAATGATATGAAAGTAGAGGGGGAATAAAGGGGTGGGTGTCGCAGTAGAGGAAATTTTGCACAACTGAGAAGAAGTGGAGGAGAAAACTTAGTCGTGGAGGGAGGGATCTGGGTATAACAACAACAAACCCAGTGAATTCCCACAAGTGGGGTCTGGGGAGGGTGAGATGTACGCAATCTTATCCCTACCCTGGAGGGCAAGGAAGGGATCTGGGTATACGAAAGAAGAAATTTAGGGGCACCGATGGTCATTTTAGGTTTTAGTGACAGAGGTTGTCATAAAGTCTTAGCAGTAGGGTATTTCTGTCCTTCTCCCTATAAAATATCCCTTATGTTTGCCTAAGCGTACAGCTTTGGTCTTACCTTTAACTGGGTTTGTGAAACTAACGGAAAAGGCTCAAAGTAAGTTAAAAATAATTGAGATGCCTGTCTTCTTCCCCTTCTCTGCCAAACTTCTTCCATTCTACCCAAAATTCCTAGAAACCAAAATCCCTAGAAACATAACCCTAATTAGTGAATGATCGAATCCACTTCAAACAGGAACCTATCTACTCCTAGAAGCATTGGAATTGGAAAGTTGCAGGTAAATGCACTTCATCGCCACTTTGTCAAAATGTGTTTTTCTCAATAGAATCGGCCTCTGATGCAGCTCAACGTTAGGAAATCATCTGAGGATTGATCTTATTAGACTTGCATTAATTTTTCCATCTGTGGTTTACACTTGATAGACACACAGCCTCTTGCACAATACCCATCCTGTTGCAAGGATATCTGTGTTTGTATAAATGGAGTCCATTTCGTTTTTTCTTCTCTTTTGTTTCTTTAAATGAATTTTATTAATATTTGGTAATTTGTTAAAAAGAGCATAGTCATGATCTTTCCTTGTCTCTCTCTAGCTGCTATTATCTATACTGTTTCTCCTTTGTATCTGTTGAATTTATGGTAACAGTAACTTTTTTCCTCCTTGTATCTTGTAGGATGAAGTTATCATTGTATGCCTCTGTTACAAGTATCATTCCAGACTTGTATGATCAATCAAAAATATCAGGCCGTATCCTACTTTGCTTGCTAAGCTAACATTTCTTATTTTACCTTTTGATGTGGCTTTCTCGAGATTTTATTTCATTCAGCAGAAATTCCGTTCACCTTGACCCATCCCATCCTAGATATTGTGGAAAGAGATAACAAAGTGCTTGAAAATTTTGAATTGGATCCATCGAAGCTGACTGCTTTTGACACTAGTAACAGCATCTGGAAGATGATAAAGTTGTAAGAAGCGGGGCTTAGTTATCATTTGGATTGTTAGAGTACCTCATCCCCTTGGCTGGTCAGATTTAATCTAATCTGATTTCTGTTGTGTTTACTTGTCAATTCTCTTGCAATCTGAGCATCCACACTTTTCTTTTTTCCCCTTTTTGTTTGTTTTAGTTTACACTCATTGTGTGGAGGCAACCCTGAGATGTTGCTTGTTTCTTGTAACTACCTTTAAGTAGTATCGAAATGATTGCATATCCAGTTTCTAAAAAAATCTTTTAGTTGATCTTAACGCTTTTAGCGGAGGAAACAAAATGGTATTTTAGAAGAATGTCAACGAAATATGAGTTGGAATTTCCAAAAGATGGAACAAGTAGACCAATCGGAACAAATAAACAAAAGAATCGATAAAACTTTAAACTCCCCATGTAAGTTGTAATTAAGTACCTTCACCGTTTGTCTTTATTTGAATTGCATTAAGAGGTTTCTTTTCCATGTTAATGCACGTTTCATGCTATGGATTATAATAAGTTACCTTATTTTCATGTAATCAACTAACTGTTTACCCGAAAAACGGATAGAGTTGAATTTGCATGTAGTTCTAAGAATATGCGTTATAACTTGACACAAATCGTAAAGATGAATAGAAATATCGAATATCGACTTTAAAGGGTAAAAAATAAGCAAAGTTGAAGGGGGGATGATTTAAGAACTCAGCAAGATGAATCAATTTATGAAGCTAAAAAGAAATACTCTTCAATATAGGAACGTATAGTATTTGAGTTACAATGTAAGCAAAAAACTTGCCCTTTATAGAAATGTAGCCATCCTCTTTATAGTGGAGGATCATACTTTAGATATAATTAAAAATACATAGTGGGGAACCCATGATAAATCAGCTTTTCCCTAATTCCCGCTGAGATTCTCTCCCTTAGTGCGGTTGCAATGGCTCTTGTCTGTGAGCTCGAGCTTGATCGGACTCGGTGTCGGTTGGTATTGGTTTTAGAGCTCGATGCTGATTTGAGCTCGATGCCGACTCGGGGTATGGTAATGACTCGGGCTCGGTATCGGTTGGCCTTTGCCCTTTAAGCTCGATTCCATAACATCTCATCATAGTTCGATTCGGACCCGAGCTCGATAATGACTTCGAACTCAGTGTTTGACCTGTACCTGAAATCTGAAGCTCGTTCGTGCCATCTTCGGAACCCGTCTCGATATTACGAAGTCTTCCTTTGGTCCATTATGATCCCATCTCGATCAATCGTACGAAGGCCGAAATCAATTTTGACCGTATACAGATAGTCCCCTCGTTTCTCGGGAAGGATGTGGCAAGAAACGATATGATTTCCCAATGGCTCGATTGGATATGCACTGACGTTTGCATCGAGCCCGACCATGACGTACGTGATAGTTGTCCCGTCAGTTTAGTTTACCAAGGCATTTAATGTGTGTCAGACGGTGGTCGGCCACTGCTGATATTGAACCGCCATTGCTTCAATCTATAAATAGCCCTTCCTTTTACCATTTATCACTTTTACATCTTCAATCTTCCAAATTTTCCAAGTTCTTTTTCGTATCTTCTGTGTTCATTCGCAAATCTGTGACTCTTCTCTGCAAAATCCTTCTTCAAAAACACCAAATCTTCGTTATCTCCTTCTTCAAATCCAAAAATGGTGAAAACATCAAAAACCGTCCCCCCAAAAGAAAAAACTTCTTTTTCCCAATCTGCCGCCGACAAAACACCGGTGGATCCACGGCCTGAGGAGTGCGTTCCCGTGGCGTGTGTTCTTACCTCCGATTTTAAGGTGGACAAAGGCTCTTCGATTTCGGGTCGATGTGAGCCAGTATCGAGGTATATATGTTCGATAACCGGGGATATCTCGAACAAATAAGAAAAGATTGTAAGTAGGGGAACAAAGAAGTGGTAGTCTCTTCTCCCGAAGAGCATATTACTACTCATGTGGAAGGGTTTTTAAGTGTGTACACTTACCCTTTCATGTTAGGCCCCCTCGACTCTGTTATCATAGATTTTTGCCGTAAATACCAAATAACCTTAGGCCAAATCCATCCTTCTTTTTGGCGGATCGTTATTCTGATCCGTTTCTTTGCGAGCAAAATCGAGGGGATGTCTTTCACCCTCGACCACCTCATTAGATTGTATTGCCCCCGCCTCTTTCGAGGTGGGTTAATAAAACTACAGCGCCGGGCTACAAAGGTTCTGTTCTCGAGCATAGATGAGGACAAGGATCGAGGCTGGATGGGAAGGTTCGTTTGAGTGAAGACGTCGGACCTAATATCGGCCGAGAAGATGCCATTTTCCGAAGAATGGAACATGAAGCGTAAGTGTAACTCGGCTATTATCTCCCATTGTTTTTCCCCTTCGTTTTTCTTACTGATATCCCCCTTTGTGGTGCAGCGGTTCCTTGGATGCCCGGTGCGGTTCCCGACCTCAAGGATTGGGTACGGGCCCTGGCTTCGACTTCTACGTATGCCGAGTGCTCATGGCGCGATTTGTCAAAGGGCCGATGGGAGGCCAAAAATCATGGTAATCTCCTTTCTCGCATCATTGATAGCTCGAACTGTTTTCCGTACTCAAATCAATTTTCTTGTGTGTAGGTTTGGGCAAGGATGCGGTTTTGAGACCCCTGTCCGGCGAGTAGGAAACTTCGGCCCCGGTTCCTAAACCGGCGAAGGACAATAAGAGAAAAAGGGCCTCTACTTCCGAAAACCCAAAACCAAAGGCTCGTAAGTTGAGGAAAAATTACCATCTCTTTAACCTTAGAATCAGTTCGGCATCTGAGGGATGAAGATAAGGAAGAAGAAAAAGATGATGGGTCCGAACTAGTGGCCCGAGTGAAGAAAACTATCGATGCCCCACAGGCAGCTGGATCAATGGTGGTTTACAAGGCTCCGCCTCGAACTGAGGATATATCGGAGAAAGATTCGGGCAAAGTCCCCAAGCCATTGGGGATAAAGGATATCTCCCATGGGGCCATCACTTACTCTCTTCGATCCGAAGAGAACGCCCCAAGTGACTCACTTGGTGCAGTAGTAATCGAAGACTCGCCCATTTTCCCTGCTTTTTCCGAAGGGGAGATTCGGGAAGCCCAAGCTTTGGGGGCCTTTGAGGTAGATGGATCTCATGAGGGAGATGGCCCTTTTCGTGATTTGTTTACAGGTGTCGAGGACGTTGTCGGCACTAGTGATGCATCAGATCTTTTCCTCGGAGTGCAGCAGGCTTTGAATCGGGTAAGCCTTAACTTACTTCGTTGGTAATGCCTTTTTGCTTATTTTTCTTTTCTAACATCATTTCTTCTTTCTTTGCAGGCCGCAACAGTTCATCAAGAAGCATGTTCTCGGTCTCGAACCGAGCTGCGTCGATACGAGGCCGACCTTCAACGGGTCACGGAGGATAGGAACGCCCTTAAACTCCTCTTAGGGCAAATGGGAGAGGAAATCAAAGACCTCCGAGCTGAGTTGGCCAAGGCTCACCAAGATCCGAGCAGGTAATGATACTTTTAAAAGCCTATGGGCTCGATATCAGAACGATGGCTAATTTTCGGTCTCACAGCTGTAGCAGAAAATTGAGATGATCGGGAAACTCCGTGAGGAGGTCGATGTGGTAAAAGCGGAGTCCTTAAAGTGGAAAGAAGGTATGGACCGCTTTGCTGCAGAGAGAGAGGCTGCTCGAGCCCAATTATCATCGGTCGAAAACCAACTTCAAAGTATGAAGGAGAAAAGCTCAGTTCAGGCAAGAAGAATAGAGGAGCTCGAGGCTCGGTTGGCCTCTGAACTTGCCAAGGCCGAATCTGACGCCAAAAAGGCAAAGGCCGATGCGGATGCATTCGTGGCTGTCTATCGGGCTGATGCTGAAGCTGCTCAGGTACAAGCAAGAGAAGCAGCCGAGACTGCCAACACTCGAGCACATTGGGTTGCTGAACTTGCTAAGTGCCGATCTCGGAGGGAGACCCTCGAGGAGATCCATGCTCTAGGTTTCGACGTCACTGAAGAGATAAAAAGGGCTAAAGAGCTCGAAGTCGATGCTGAAGCCTTGGCTTCCGATGATGACGATGATGATGATGATGACGATGAGCGGGTCCGAGAGCGGGGAGAGCCCGATGGAGATGAGACCGCTCCCGGAGATAACCAAGAAACTTAGCCCTTAGTTTCTATTTCGGATGTTGCAAACAATCATGTAAATAATTTTGTATATATATATATATATATAAATATCTTTTCGTTTCCCGTCTTGCCTCTGTTTTATTTTCTGCTATGTGAAGATTTTGTTTCATTCATGCCTTATGAAGGTTTTCATAAGGCTTTAGGCAATTGGATCGAATTTGGACCTTGTAGCATTTATAACCGAGTGAGTGCTTGCTCAAACTTGAAATAAGGTAGCCTGTAGGCTTGGTAGTCGAGTGAGTGATTCGAACTCAAAGTAATGTAGCCCGTAGGCTTTAATGGTCGAGTGAGTGCTTGCTCGAACTCGAAATAAGAGTAGCCCGTAGGCTTTAATGGTCGAGTGAGTGCTTGCTCGAACTCGAAATAAGAGTAGCCCGTAGGCTTAATAGTCGAGTGGGTGATTCAAACTAGAAGTAATGTAGCTCGTAGGCTTTAATGGTCGAGTGAGTGCTTGCTCGACCTCAAAATAAGAGTAGCCCGTAGGCTTAATAGTCGAGTGAGTGATTCGAACTCGAAGTAATGTAGCCGGTAGGCTTAATGGTCAAGTGAGTGCTTGCTCGAACTCGAAATAAGAGTAGCCCGTAGGCTTTAATGGTCGAGCGAATGATTCGAACTCGAAGTAATGTAGCCCGTAGGCTTAGTAGTCGAGCGAATGATTCGAACTCGAAGTAATGTAGCCGGTAGGCTTAATGGTCAAGTGAGTGCTTGCTCGAACTCGAAAAAAGTAGCCCGTAGGCTTTGTTGATATTCGGTTGGCAGTCCCCGATTTAAGGGGTAGTGGTCGGCCCTTAAGCCTGTTTGAATCATGAAGCAGAACGAAATTTTCAAAATATGAGTTATTGGTAAAGAGGTCATTATACATGTGTTCGTATTTTGTGCCAGGGCTCGAGCAAAACTATGCGGGCATGGTTCGTTTTGACCATTTGGCCCTTACACGTTTCCCTATCGAGACCCTGTTTGACATGACTTTGGTATGAAATAACTTTCTTGTATCGAACTTGGTTTATTCGATGGTAAAGCCCCCAGTATTCGAGGTTGATTGTAAAGAAGCCTTGGATACTATTGAATTGTCCTC